AAACTCCGTTCTACAATAATGTACTTAAGCCAAAAAATTTACAATAAACAAACGGGTGAACACATAATGAAAGTGAAAGTCACGGATAATAAATTGAGAAAAAGTGGAGCACAGCTGATTTGCTGCTCGAGTGCGTCGGCGTACACATTACGTTGTTCACCTCCAACTCGGTCTGTTTCTAGGGTGATATAGGACAACAGGGACCGCCCGGCCCTCCCGGGCCTCGCGAGTTCACGGGAAGTGGCTCGATTGTAGGTCCGCGCGGAAACACCGGAGAAAAAGGATTCAAGGTACTTACATTTACATTTTTTAGGGAGACGTGGGAGCTCAAGGGCCACGGGGACCTCCCGGTCCTATTGCGTCCACTATGGCGAAGGGAACAATAGTCGGTCCCAAGGGAGATGTAGGAGAGAAGGGAGAAAAGGCAAGAGCCGCATAAACTAACCTGACCTAACCTTTCGCTTCCCTGTCGCTTATTTTTCGCATGCCCCGCTTTTGCTCTTTCACTCATAGCTATTTTAGTTTATCCGCTTCCATCTTTCATACATAACGGAATTCCTCATGTAGATGAATGCTTTTGAAAGCCTATTTGGTTTACTTTTGTGGCATACCTTGACAGCTTTTGTTGACGTGGCGAGCTTAAGTTGGCATGAAATAATCTGCTGCTACGCTGAATAATACTGCTAAATTGCAGGGAGAACCAGGCGAGGCTGGTCCTCGAGGTTATCCTGGAAACGCTGGTCTACCCGGTCAACCGGGTCTTCCAGGAATGAAAGGCGAAAAAGGACTGTCTGGGCCAGCTGGGCCAAGGGTAAGCATTATTAGTCTAGCTTCTACAACTACATGTATTTGGCTCTTGAACAATTAGTGATTTTTTATTGCAGGGTAAAGAAGGACGGCCTGGTAACCCCGGACCACCTGGTTTTAAGGGCGATCGTGGTCTTGATGGAGTGCCAGGATTTCCTGGTATGCCTGGTCAGAAAGGTGAAGCAGGATATCCAGGAAGAGATGGACCAAAAGGAAATATGGGACCTCCTGGACCACCTGGAGTATGTGAGATTTTATTCCCGCTTACAACATATGACAAACTCATTGTCTTTCAAGGGTGGCTCATTCACCGATGGACCACCAGGTCCACCTGGATTGCCCGGCCGTCCAGGAAACCCCGGACCCCCCGGAGCTGATGGATTTCCAGGTCCTCCAGGACCTGCTGGTCCCCCTGGTCAGACGGGTGGCCCTGGAGCTCCTGGTTTACCT